CACACACACACACACACACACACACACACACACACCCCTTCCAAAATATAGAATGTGAAATGCCTAATCAGAAACCTGATTCCATCCATAAGAGACAGATATCCATATTACATTAGTTTATCCCCTTCAGAATATTTTATTTTCCCTTTATTTTCCCCCATGCTCTTACTTTAACAAGAACAAATGCCCTTGTAAGTGTTAAACATATTTTTTATAAAGAGTAATGTTTTAGTGCAGAGTTTTATAGCTACCCATAACTAATCACATTTCCAAAGCTATTTTCATTTGCCAATGAAGACAGTCACTTTGATAACCATTCCTTATTATCAGCCACTGAAGTAGGCAATGATTTTTATTCTCATTTAACAGATAAGGAAACAAATGCTCCAAGAGGTGAAATAAGTGACTTAGTCATTTGGTGATGTGGTGGAGAAGTTGAAATTTGAATTCTCATCCAACTTCCCAGACCCTAAAGCTATGTGGCCAGATTTTCAATAAGGAAGCCTATTTATATGACTTTCCAGGGGACCAGGAAGTCAAAACCACAACAGGGTAAGAGCAGGAAGACATTGCTTTCTTGGCAGGGAATTTCAAAGGCAGCAACATTAACCACTTTCAGAGCATTTTTGCTATATTGTGGGGGCTTCCCTGGACAAGCATGACTACAAAGTGCCTGAATAAAGAAGCATATTATTTGGTAACATTGTTAACCTTCTTTTATTTGAAAAAATAAAATAATTAAGCTCTGTGCTTAAAAGAGTCAAAAGAAAGGGCCTTCATTTTGAACACTCTGACCACTTCTTCCTTTTACATTAAAATCTCAATTTGTTCCCAGAATAAATTCTCAACCAAGTGTTGGAACTTATCCAAAAAGTTCCCCTCCCTCCTGCCCCCAAAATGAAAGAATTATATATGGTAATGCCACCACTGATCTCCAAACTCCACAAACCTTTAACGTGCAGGAAGCTGAGGATGCTTGTGTTGGTGTCAAGCAGTAGCAATTGGCCATTCTCCACTGTGACATTGTCGCCATCTTGTGGCACTCTCTCAGGAAACCAACTGTAAGCCCTTGACCATCTCAGGCAGAACTGAAAGGAAAAGTTGCCCTGGAAAACAGTTTCAATGTTTTATTTTGTTTGGTTTAAAGCATAATAGTATGGAGGATCAATCTAAATGGAAATCTCTTAAACTAAAATTAATTTGCATGTAACGTTAAACGTCTCGATAAAATTAGTCACCCTCTCTTGACTAACTCAAAAAGGGATAAATACAGAAGGGGCAAAGTTATACTTGAAATGTCTCTGTGTTGGCCACTGGAATTCTCCAACAATGTGGTGCTGCTCATGTTTTCTTACCTTTTATTTTTCTCCAGGACAAGTCCCTTTCTACTGAATAGAAGGGTCGATTCCATTTTTTATTTTTATAGACATGTATTGAGTCTTGAACAAAAAGTCATAAATATCCTGGAATCGAGAGAATTAAAATGTTCTGCTTGATGGGTGGCATTTTGCTTTATGTAATTGGTATCATTTTTCATTGGCTCTACTGCCAAGGGTCCTTGTTTTATAGGAACATTCCTCTTTCCAAGTCCAGCCTCCTACTCTGTCTCTTTTTGATATTGTTGTTGCCTTTCCCTCTATGCCTGGTGCATCAGTGCTGAAAACAAAATGCATAAATGAAATGGCCCCTAACTTCAGAGGATAGCTTGAGTGAGTGATGGGCAGGGAGCGAGGCTGAGAGGGGCCCAGATAAAGAAGCACCCCCTTCCCACTCAGACTCCAGTCTCCCTCACAGAACTGTTGGCTTTTCTTTTAATTTATGGTCACACTGAAGTCACATGTTTTTCAAAAAAGGAATGTAAAAAACCACAGAAAGCAGTATTCAGCTCATGTAAGAGGCCAAGAACATGTCTAAATATCTTGTGCAGTTATGGGACTATAATTATGATAAGTAAAATAAAATCAGAATAGAGAAGGTATTTCCCTCGAGGTAGTACATACATGTGTCTGCCTCTTTCCACACACTTCTTCCCACCCAGATTCTCACCAAATATGAAGCCTGGGTTCCTATAAAAGAACTGCCTAGAAAGTCCTCTTGTGAGGTGTTAGAAGCAGATGGGAGAAGATCATTAAGAAGGGAAAGCATGTTTATAATACCAATAACTACACCTACACAGAGAATAGTACCCTGGAGTATTTCTGAGAGAGAAAATGGAAAAGTGTGTAGCCAGAATAGCCAATAGGTTTTCCAGGAGAGTGTACTGACACCCCAATTCAATAGTCTTGAGTTGTATACCCAACCCAATTGCCAACAAGCCTTTGGGATAAGGAGAAGCAGTGGTTTTTTTTTATTCTCTACACCTACAAAGGAGAAAAAAGTTCATGACTCCTCCCAATTTAAGAGATGGATAAGCAGCACTAGCACCATGAAAAGAAGGGGCTATACATGAGCATCTTTGTAAGTCGTATGAACTATATCCCCATAATGGCCATCTGTAGACTCAGAAAGTATGAAAGAATTTTAGCTCTTTACTGATTTCACACTGAAGTTAGGCAAAGGGAAGTAAAATTACACAAAGTGGTCCTTACAGGCTATACATTATATGTTCTTAGAATCCCTTAATTCATTTCCATCAAATCTAAAAAAGGGAGAGGGAGGTGAATAGGAGGAAACTGAAATGGAATAAAGTGGTGAAAAGGTGGGAGAGGCTAAACTGAATAAAGACAGTAAAGTCAACTGTAGAGAAGATGAACTAGATTATTGGTCACATTGGCTGGAAGTCCACTCTAAAAGAACTTTTGAATAAGCCTAACTAGGTTCCTAGAAGATCAGAAATGGAAAAACTCTAGAGAAATCCTATCTCTTCATTTTAAAGGGAGTTTCTCAGCTTAGAACAGTTTGAGGTAGAGAGTCCCTCAGTGCCACCATGATGGAATCAGAAGCTTAGGAGGTAGGGCCCAGGGAACCATCATTTTAATGATCCCTCAAATAACCACTTCTGCATCAAAGTTTGAGGATGAATTCAGGGCAAGGGCTAGAGGGAAGGAAGATACATCCCAAAAAGGAACCTGGACACTTCCTTCAAACCAGTCCTTGAAGCACAAGGTCTTAAGGAAGGCCAGCAAGCTGGACAAGATTGGGGTGTGGATGAGCTCTAATGAGTTTGAAGGATTCAACAACATAACTCTTCCTGAGACATTAACCTAGTGGTCAGATCTATACCCCACCTACAGAACAACAAGAAAAAGAGGCTCATGACTTTGACAGTGGAAAGATCTGGAACAATTAAACATTAATTAGGTATGTGAGGGAGTCAAAGGAAAGCAATTCCATGGTCTCCTGCATTAATTAATTTGGGAACATCATAATACTTCCAATTATCACTGATATCTGTTATCTACCTCTAAGTGAACTTTTAAGATAACTTTCTGTCTTGCTCTGAAGACCCTCTATATACATACACTAGCTACCTTCCATGTGTTATAACATCTTGGCCTGGCCTGTCAACCTTCAAAAATTGCTACACTGAACCCCAACTTGGCAAGTGGAAAGGTTAAATATTGTTATTTCCTCCTCACAGTTGAGGAAACAAAGGCTCAAAGAGTTTAAATGATGTGTCAAAGGCCACAGTGGTAAAAACAGATGGAATTGATACAGAGAAAGCTCCCAATTCAGGCCATTTCACTCACCTTGGCCTCTCCAGGAACACTCTTCCTCAAAATCTCTGCTGGCTCACTCTTCTTCTTCATTCAGGACTCTGAGCAAATAACACCTCCTACCCTACCTCCTTAATAAAATAGCACCTCCAATAACTCCCTCTCCCCAACACTGCTTAATTCTGGTATGAGAGCTTTAATTTCATGTGTATTTATCATCTATTGATCTTACTCAAATGAAAGCAAAGACTTTGTGTATCGCCCCACCCCTAAAAAGTATCTGACATAGTAAGTGCTCAATGGAACTCGAGGGGATAATTTCCCAAGTGAATCATTTCTAAGTGAACTCCTAATCCCATACATGCATTTACAGATGTTATACACACACATAAATACACATGCACATGAGAGCAACAACCTTCCTGATACAATAGTTAAACAAAGAGGTGGAAACTAAAATACTTAAAAATCTGCACCCCATGGGTTTGGCATCCATTGGGTTTCACTCACATTCTTTCACAATCCTTTCTGCATTTTCAAGCTCTATTCAAACCTAAACCGAATGATGATGAGTGTATCTAAATCAAAACCCAAGACTCAGATTCCCTTCTCCCTGTGAAACCTTTTGTCATTTTTTTTCATTTACCTTCAGTTTCTCAACTTAGTGTGGTATACCTCAAATGAACATAAATGTTAAGCATTATTTTTCAAGGGACCTAAGCTTCCTTGTGCCAAACTACTCTTTAATATAATAATGGTACCTTGAGATGTATAAATTTTTGTTGATGGTTCATGGTACAGTACAAAACAGTGACTAAATACTAAAAGCTCTAAAGAGTTAATGCAGCCTCGGGGCACCTGGGTGGTTCAGTCAGTTGAGCTTCTGACTCATGATCCCAGGTCATGATCCAAGGGCTGTGGAATCTTGTATTGAGCCCTGCATCAAGCTCTAAGCCCCGCATCAAGGTCTGTGCTGAGCATGGAACCTGCTTAAGATCCTCTCTCTCTCTTTCTCTTTCTCTCTCCCCCTCCCTCTCTCTCTCCACCTCTTCCCTGATTGCTCTCTCTCTCTCTCTCAAATAAAAGAAATAATAAAATAAAAATAAAAAATTAATGCAACCTCAACTATGTACCAGCTACCTGGGGAAGTAGAAATGTATCGCCATAATTGCAAGTTGTCAGTGAGCCCGTAATTACAAACACACAATTTTAGCTCTTGACATTTTCAGAGGTGACACACTGGTAGTGTCATTCCCCGTGTCAGTGGCAGCCCTGTGACTACCAGGGCAACACTCCATTAAACCGTGAGACTGGCACACTTTCTAATCACTATCACTTTGATCCAATCAAGCAAAAAAGAATTCTAAGAGCATTTAAAAACGTTTCTTTATTTTTGAGAGAGAGAGTGAGAGCAGGGGAGGAGCAGAGACAGAAAGGAGAATCCCAAGCGGGCTCCACTATGCCACCAGCCCAGAGCCCGACATGGGGCTCAGTCCCACTAACTACAAGATCATGACCTGAGCCAAAATCAAGAATCGGAGTCTTAACCAACTGAGCCACCCAGGCGCCCCTGCTAAGGGCATTTTAAAAGACATCTTGTCAATATATCTGAAAGTCTCTCAATTGATGCCAACACGGCGTTTTTGGTGAAAACCACGTTTTGTGTCACCAGCTCCGCCTATTGGTCAAAGCAGTTTTCACCTCCACCTAATATAATAAGTTTCTTCCACTACTGTTCCTGACATGCTCAGCCATTAGCTTTAGTTTTCTTCTTTGAGATAAGCCAATCACTCATTTCCATCCTACAAATGAACAAAACCATTTCCGGGGTGCCTGGGTGGCTCAGTCGGTTAAACGTCCAACTTCAGCCCAGGTCATGATCTCATCGCTGGTGAGTTCGAGCCCCACGTTGGGCTCTGTGCTGACAGCTCAGAGCCTGGAGCCTGCTTTGGATTCTGTGTCTCCCTCTCTTTCTCTGCCCTTCCCCCACTCACGCTCTGTCTCTCTGTCAAAAATAAATAAATGTTAGCGCCCTGGTGGCGAGGCCTGTTGCTGTCCGACTTCAGCCAGGTCAATGACCAAGAGGTCTGCGAGTTCGAGCCCCGTGATCAGGCCTCTGGCTGATGGCTCAGGCCTGGAGCCGGGTTTCCTCGACCTTGCGTCTCCCGGCCTCTGCCCCTCCCCTGCCACATGCTCTGTCTCTCTCTGTCCCAAAAAAAAAAAAAAAAAAAAAAAAGTTGAAAAAAAATAAATAAATGTTAATATCCACTTAAAAAAAATTTTTCCTCACAGGCCTATAGGGTGGAGGTGGAAATAGAGATTTAAGAACTATCCAGAATTCACCCTCATCTTTTACCTCAGCTCATATAACCCAAAATAAACCAAAAAATAAAATATATACATATAAGTTTATGCCTATATATATATATGTGCATGTGTGCGTGTGTGTA